GAGAAATCTACCTTGGTTCCGTTCGGGACAAGGTTTTGTAGGATTTTCAATCTTTCATTTATTCTTTCTCTTCTTCTCTGCGTTGTGCAAAAAGGAAAATTTCTTGAGATCACATCCTTTACACTTTACAGTACATTGACAACAATGAAAGATCATAGAATTGTTAGAATGGATTAATTTGATGAAATACATACCCTTGCATATACACTTTGTGGATCAGTAGCAGAACCTCTACTAGCTGTTGATTTTTTCCCCTTCAACTTAAGGGATGTAGAATCCTCCAGGCTCAGATTTGGAGATCCTCCTCCATTTAGCTCTTGAGAAGCATTGGAGTCATCATCATCTGAGCAGCAACCCTGAAGATCAGGACTTCTACCCTCTTCAGAGTTACTTATTGAATCAGATTTTGGTTTCTTCACGGATTTAGCATTTTTCTTGCTCTTTCGTACCTACCATTAAGTAAAAATCATCAAATCATGATGAGAAGAACCGCAAAAAATATCTGCTGGAAAAGGAAATGCTTACATAACCATACTATTATAGGACAAAGAAACAGCATCAGTAATAATTTGTGTTATTCTACCTGCATTGAGCCCCTGGATCTTTTTCCCGACTTCTCCAGATTGGTGGTTATATCCTCTGTTGCTGCTTCAGAAACTAGTACTTCACATTCCTGGTGATCCTGCGAGTTCTTGTCAGCAATAACCTCTGGACATAAATCTTGATCAGTGTTTTCATTCATCTGTTGGCTGTCACTCCCTTGTACATTATATGGGCTGAACTTGGCAAAACCCATGGACACGTAGCCAATGTTGGCTACTGGGTCATTCAAGCAGTGTTTATTGCCACTTGTAGCAGGAAATATATTGCTACTATCAGAAGTGGAGCAACTTCCTTGTGAAAAACATAAATAATTACTATTACTATTATCAGCGGTTGTAGGAAAATATGGACTGTCATTGATGCTTGTCACGGTCAGTATTGTTGATTCATGGCCAGGCCATGTCGCAGACGGAATTCCCAAGTGGAAATTTCCACACAGATTTTCAGGGAGCGAGCAGTTGTCAAGCAACTGGCTCATGAAGTCGGCTTCCTCAGCAGTGCAAAAACCACTGAGAGAACTCCATTCTTCAGAAATTTGCTCAGTAGGATCCATTTTCTTTCTTGGGTGTGACTCTTCTTCTTCTTCTTCTTCTTCTTCTTCTTCTTCTTCTTCTTCTTCTTCTTCTTCTTCTTCTACTGTTATTGAAGAAGAACCCCACCTATAGAATGAGAACTGTACTCTATTTATACCCAACAAGTATAAATCATATACCACTAAGGATTGACTTCATCCATATAAAAATATCTCAATTCATAATTGGCAATAATTAGCATCTGACAAAGTCCTACACCCTTAAATCAATACGCAAAAGTTCTTGATGGGACCACTTTTAAGCTATAATTTAAGAGGTCCCTTTTCGTAAGTATCTTTTTTTCACGGAGTAATTCAGAACAGATGATTAATTTTTGTCAGAGGGATGAGACTTGCACTGATGAAAATTATTTTAACACCGTCAAAACCAATCTTTAGAACACCAAGTAAACCTGTGTTCCAGACCATACCTTCATCCACTGGATCAATTATTCGTTTTTCATTAGAATATGAATATATCATTGTTCAGGAAGCCCTGTACAAAATTGGTAGACCTGAAAATTCCTTCCACGGATGAGAGAGAAGCAGAATATAAAAGTATTTGTGAATGAGAATGAGGAGATTTGGAGGGTTGTACAAAGAGAATTACACCTGTTAATAGTGAGACCGACGTGGGGTTGGCCCAGAATATGATATTATATAAATTATGTATTAGACAAAATACAAAATGACGTATGCAAGAAGGACGGCGAGAGATCGTGGTGGTAAGTCTTCCATTCTGAAAACTGTTTTCAAAACTAGACAGCATTATCTGCTAACTGTGTTTTTGTCCCCTCTAGAGCTGTTAAAAACCTACCACATTCTCTTCATTGTTCAACTCAGTTTTCAGTTCTAGATTTTGCAAACATTCGTGGATCGATATAATGCGAGATTCTTGTGCCCAGTTCAGCATTTTATCGTAATGCTGAGTTGGGAAATCTGGGCTATAATCCAGATATGAAACAATGGCACAATTAACGATTTGTATAATAATATCACTTCTGGCTTCAGGGCAGTGTTCAACATTCTCTGTCGTATTTTATGTTTATATTTATGTTTAAGATGTTGGAATATATGGACAACAATATATTCCTCGACATATGGATGATTAACAAGATTTGCTGTATTTTATATATCCTTTGTGAGTTCGTGAGTGCCCGTTTGGTTAGATCAGAGATTGGAACACTGCCTTAAGATTCTTCTTCCTCTTACACTCCAATTTAAGATTGTTACACATAAGATCTCTCATGCTACAAAGCCTTAGCCAAGACATTAATTACAGTGTTATTATTATCTTAATTATTTTAACTAAAAATTGGCCTACACTTTGTGGTTCATAAAAAAGTTGCATGACATGTACTAAAAGTGCCGCAATAAATATTAAATTTAAATGTTTTAAAATAGTTGGTCAATTTATGGTTAACAAATATATACTTGTTAAAATTACGTTATTTTATACTTCTTTCAAATTGATAAATATATAAATGTTTGTTTTTAACCCCAAGAATAAATTTATCACGATTATGAGTTTGTGATTCACCATGTTGTTAGTACTCAGAAGCATATCTTCTTGGATGTGGGAAGATGATATGCCCTTAGATTTTAAAAATTTTGTATATGCATAATGAGAATTCATGAGAGTTAAATTAGAAAGATTTTAATTTTTTTTATAAAAAATGTAATTTAATGTCAATAAATAGTAAAATATCACATTCAATATCATAAAATACGGATATATATTTTTTATTTGTTTGTTGATTTATTTACCTTTTTCATTGACACAAAATAAAAGTATTTTACTTTTGTTATTTCAGATTTTTTTACGTTTGTGGGAGAAGTAAATTTAACTTTTTTTTTCCTTCTTTCAAAATATAAGAGAACTAAGGGAAAGTTATGTATTAAAAGAATAAAAATCAAAGAAAACTAACCAATAATGAAGTTCGTGCTCCTCGTATGAGGTTGTTCACACTGTTGTGAAGAAGCAAGTGATGAAAGTAACGTCAAGATTACATATAAAGGGTTTTGCATCTAACCATCGCTTCAAGTATGATATCTACATAGTCAGATGTTAATTGCTAGACATAATAATCATATTTTTGTGTTAGTGTTCATCTTTCACTCTTTAACATGTTTTTTTTTTTGATAAAAAAGAAAGATAAATACAAGCACATTATTTATGTTCTAATTTCTTAATTGTTTTGTTTCATTTTGAAGAGAAAAAAAAAGATAATAATCTATTGTCCCACTTGGTACTAAATTATTAGTTTTGTATTTTTTTAGTATTTTAAAAGTGATAAAAAAAATTATCTATGTAAATGAAAATAACACAAATTTAATTTTTTCATATTATAAGAAACATGATATCAATGATGTAATTATTTATTTTTGTTTTATTAGTAACAGTAATTAAATATATAAATTTTAGTAATAATTATTTATTTTTTGATTTACCAAATTGTTAGTAAAAATTTTGAGTGTATTATTTTAATTATTTCAATATTATTAATTAAGATCCACTTTTAGTACTTGATGTGAATCATGACCCTAAACAAGGAGACATAAAATCGGAGTTGAATCTTGTTGGAGCTGTAAGTATTCTCAATCTTCGAGGTGACAACATACTAAAAAATGGGAATATTATAATACTTGAAAAATATGTATTAAACGGTATCATAAAATAATTTAGAATACTTTAAATTTATTTCTTATGATTTGTTTCAGCATTTCCTTATATTCCATGATTTATTTTGTCTTATTTTCTTATTTAATTATAATTATGATTTAGTATTCAAATTTTCTCTCTTTTGTTGTACAGATAACACATCATATCATATTAAGTTACTATCAACTTTAGATTCAATGTATATCCTCTCCTCAATACGAATCTTTAGTAGAACTTGTTAACATGTTTGCATATAAGGTGCTCCGAAAGACCTTCGACAGTTCATCATTCCTATATATAGTTATTTAATTTAAATACATTGTCTTCCTAATTTATTTAATTTGATTATATTTTTAGCCGTTATATATATATATATATATATATTTATTTATTTTCAGCTCCATAGTTTATAGGAACAAAAAAATATATTTAAATTTAATTATTCTTGCTAAAGAATAATCCGTTATATTAAAAATGTAGTTACAATCCAATAATTGAATACGTAGCACGGGTTTAGAATCAGAACCGACGTGTATTTATTCAATAATAAATTAATTCTTTTGGAAAAAGCATTATATAATTATAAATATGAACATCATATTCCGTACGCAAATAAAATAAATAAGCAAGTACCACCCCCTTATTAATATCAAATAAAATAAATAAGCAAGTTTAGCAGATCCAAATAAAGAATGAATGACAAAATGTTGTTGATTTAAGTGAAAGCAATTTGAACTTAAGAAAAGTCTTTCCTTAATTCTTTTGAGTTGAAAAGATACTTTTTTATTGTTACCGATTTGAAGTACTATATATTTTGTTCATAATAAGGTGTAGCATATTCTTAACTATATTTTTTTTTCTGTTGATAATATTATAATTCGAGATTTTACTAAAAGATCTATTAAAGATAGTTACATGTTTTTTTTATTAAAATTAATTATTGATAAGGTAACTTTAAAAACAGAGTTTTTTTAGATTAACTATAGCACGGGATCCAAGTTTTTACTCAGCGAACTCAAATCAGTAATATGTAAAAACATTGATTTGCATGAAACATTAGAAAGTAAAGAGAAATTGGTACTTTTTATCAGCAAAGTTAACACATTGGTGTTTGGTTTCTTGAAAGGACTTGTTTGATTAATGAATGCTGTCCATAGTTTGCAGGATTGAGTGGCATTACAGAAATGAATAGACTAAAACATCATACAGAGACAATCTAAGTTAATGAAATGTTGTAACCTCTTTAATTGCTATACTATCACATTAATTCATCTTCCTTTGGTTGGAGAAATACTGAGGTCAAGTCCAATGTTTATACCATTGTAAGCAATTGGGGCATACATCCACATATCGTCAGAGCTCAGAAGCTGTTTCATCCAAATCAAAATGAATTAATAATCACAATCTTAATGTAAAATGAAGATCTTTGAAAAAATGTAATGAGAAGGTTTTCCTAATCGTTACCTTGATTTGGAGCTGTAAAAACTTAACGTATTGCACTGCTTCATCAAGCATGGTGCTGATATCCACCTACAGTTTAGGAAGACAGAACATGAGAATTTGAACACTGACCAATTGTGGGCAACAGTTCAATGAACAGAGAGAGTTACCTTAGTTCCGTTGGGGACAAGATTTTGCAGTATTCTCAGCCTTTCATTTATTCTTTCTCTTCTCTTCTGCACAACCCAGTACAAAATTTCCTTTTAGGCTTAATAAAATATGTTTATTTAATTAAGAACAAAAACCATATTTTTTGTTGAGATTTTTAAATCGTAATTTCATCACAGTCTCTGATATCAGAATGAATGCGACTGATGTAGCGATAATTACAGTCCTTATGCAGTTGAATAAATTCTAAAAATCTTGTTATTATTAGCACAGTGATCATACATTTGCAATTGTCATTGTGATTTCATTGAAATGTGCTTCTAATGGGTGACTTACTCTTGCATAGAGGCTCTGTGGATCAGTAGCAGGACCCTTAGTTGCTCTTGATTTTCTAAGCAAACTGGGAGGTGCAGGATCTTTCAATGCTCCTCCATTTGGCTTCAGAGAAGCATTAGAGTCACCCTGTGAAAAACAGCCGAGCCCTTCGAGGTTCAAGCTTCTGTCATCTTCATTCTTGTTCATCGAAGCAGATTTTGAATTTTTCTTCAACTTGGTATTCCTCAATGTTTTTGAGACCTACAGATAATACAATCATGATCAGAGTCCAACACAAGTAAACAACATAACTCAATATTCTGAAGGGAAAAAAGGAGAGTAGAAATATGGCACTAGGTAACAGAACTTTAGCTCGGTATTAATTATTCTATCTCTACCTCTTTTGAGTTCCTAAGCCTTTTTGTTAGATTCTCCAGGTTTTCACTTCTGTCCTCGTGTGCATATTCAGAAACCATCATCTCATACTCCCTCTTAGCCTGCAAATTGTTGTCAGCAAGAGCTACTGGGTCTAGACTTGACTCTTCATCAGTGTTTTCATTTATTGAGTTATCATAACAGTGAAAACTATGGGGACTGAATTGAGCATCTCCCAGGAAAAAGGCCATGGACACAGAGTCAAAGTTTGTTGCTGGATCACAGTAGTAGGGTCCACTACTTGTAGTGGACAATACACTATTACCACTGTCAATGCTGGAGCTACTCCCTTGTGAGAAACATAAATTAATGTCTGTAACATTTGGAAGGAAGTATGAGTTGCTATTAGTGGCTTTCATGGTCACTGTTGTGGATTCATGGGCCGGCCAAAAGCCAAAAGTGGTATTTCCGTGGTGCTTTTCTGTGACAGAACAGTGAGTACCACCAAACAACTGAGCCATAAAGTCAGCTTCTTCAGTTGTGTGCAATCCACAAAGAGAACCCCATTCTTCGGAAATCTGTTGAGAAGATTCCATTCTACTTCTGGTTTAAAATCTATGAGAAGGAAGGGTTCTCTTGTTTTAGTGTGACAGTATGCAAAAACTGAAGAAACTGGGTTTTGTTTCAGTATTCAAGGGATGTGAAAAGTGAGAAGACAGTACTGGTACATTTATACCTAACAACCTCAGGTAATGCCAAAATGGGATTGGTTCCATCTATCGAAAAAGATCCCAAAACCATTGGAAATAATTAAGCGCTGACAAAGTACTAATTAATACCCTGAAATTATTTCCACTAGTTCTTGACCAGACCATATACACATTAAAAGATTCGGCTAATGGTATTGATTTTTATTAAAATAATAACCCTCGAATGAGCTTATAACTTCCCTCTCAGGTGAAATGCAATGATCAAAGTTTTGCTGAATGAGACTAGTGTGGGAGTTGATTCGTTAGAGACAAAAAAAAGAATGAAAAATGTGATTGCTGGCCCAGAATATGATATTAATTTAACAAGAACTATTTGTGTTGGACAGAAAGAACGAAAATGACATTGATATGGGGAAATTGAAGGGGTGTCTCATGTCTGTCCAACATTCTAAATTCCTAATTTAATTTTGATTCGGACTGTGTTGTTTGATGTCTACCAACTGGATTCATGTACCCTCTCGAGCACTCCAAAACTCATTCAGTTCCCTCAACTCATGTTTTTTCTTTTCTTAATACTTTTGAATCTATATTTAACTACCATGTTTTGTGTTGCAGTCGTTTCTATGGCTCTCTCGCAAATCATTAACATGATTGATATATAATTCGTCAACATCTATACCAGGAAATGCCAGTCTCCTAAATTAATTTCAACATCTCCCTCAAGTGAATGTATCTTAGTAGCTTAAGAAATTGCTTTGAGTTCTTTTACTCTATGTATAGGAAGTTTATCAATTTTCATAGTATTTACTTTGATAATATCTAATGCTGTTAAAATAGGTTCTAATCCGTGAGTCAATCTCGCTCACCACATGTTTGAGTTGAGTTGGGTTTGAAAAAAATATAATTTTCTTATATGGGTTAGTTTTCAATCCGACTTACTTAGAACCCGGCTCATCTGGATTGAATCCTTGGTGAACCGGGTTGGCTCACCAACCCACATAATATAATTTAATTATTTATTATTTTGTGTTTTAATATTATTAGTTAGTATTTTTTTTATTATATTGTAGATGGGGATAAAAAAATGTTTCAAAAGAGAAAAATATTATAGATTTATGACTCTAATATTATAAATGGACAAAAGATATAAAAATGATCAATATTAAAAACTTATTTGTTTGTCTTTCGGACTTGTTTTTGGATTACAGTTCGATTGTATAACATTTTTTTTATTTTGAATTATCTTTGGACTTTAACATCATTTTAGAGTGAAATTTATTTATATTTGAATTAAAAAAATTATTTTTTTATTTAAAAAAAACTCATAATTAAGTGAGTCAATGAGTCAACCCGTTTAATCCACCAACCTGTGGTGGGTCGAGTCGAGTTGGAATTTTTTTAGCGTGCTAATAAATGAGCTGAGTTGGATGACTTACTAAGTGACGGCCAGACTGGGTCGAATTGGGTTACCCGTTTTGACAATACCACTTAATATAATTTTTAATCTTAATATTGTAAAAAATATCAACTAAATTCTATCACTAAATGTTAGACCAATTAGTAAATATAAATAGTAAAAATATATAATTTCATATATCTTTTGCACAAAAACATATTTAGCTAATTATTTTTAAATATTTCACGACAAATAAAATAAAATGTAGTATTAAAGCAAATATTTTTTAAAAATAAATAATTTTATATTATTGAAAACAGAAAATGAAATTTTTTGTTAATGTGAATAAAATTTTAAATATATATATTGATGTATTTTTGAAAGTAATAAATAATACTGAGACTTGAATCAGTATGTTTTGAATCTTTATAAACTTTTTACACAAATAATATTAATGTCATGTTTCTTTTTCATTATCTAACTTTTATTTACTCGAATAACATACTTTTATTGTGTTAATTCAGAATTCGGTTTATGAGTAATCAAATTTTGAATATGTTTTTGCATTAACATGCTTTTTTGAATTAGAACACTAAAGACATGTCTAGGATTTATTTTTTGAAAATCGAATTTCGAACTAGCATAATGAAAATGTGCAATTTGAGTAAATAAAAACCAGTGTTCTGTTTTGGAAAAAAAGAAATGTAATGGTGTGTTATTCGTGTAAAAGAAATTATCATCTTTATATACATTGTTCAACTTTTTTTATTTTTATTGATATAAATTCAAACTTGAATTTTTATTTTAAATATATATATATATATATATATATATATATATATATATATATATATATATATTCAATGATTATTTAGTATAAACACCTCTTACTTTATTTTGATGAAATAATTTCGTAAAAGAACCAAATAGTTATAAATCAGTGAAAATAACTAGTCACACCACTCATGTGATAGAATGGACCTACAGATACAGATGTAAGAAAACAGGTTAGTTATTTAGCGTGGCAGATTAAGAAAACCGTTGAATAGCTATTGAAGAAAAGTAGTTATCTGCGTTTATAAAATGAAACTACCACAAAACATGTTTTTCATAGTTGTTTTCAAAACTGTACTAACTGTTTATTATTATTACTATAAAAAAAATGTGGACCAGAATACCTACATTTCCACATCTGTTTTAAAAATTAAGACACAGTGTAATAATATTGTGCTTATTCCTCAACATTATATCCAACCATTTTATTGATCTTTAAAAAATTAACGAATTGATGCTGGTCTTATCTTAGGTTAATCAAAAATATATACTTTTGGTAGTGTTTAATGAAATGTAGTGTGAAAGTTTATTGAAATATAGTGCTTACATGATTAACCAATCTATGTAAAATTTGAGGTTACATGAATAATGCGCTTATATTTTAAGAGGCCAAAGAAAAAAAAAATACGTGGAAAAGAGGAAGAAATTATTAGTGTTTGAAATGAATTGAAAAGTAGTTGTGTCACTATCAAACCAATCACCGAAGGTCACGCCAGTTTGGACGGTAGATTTTACGCGTAGGTATCTTCTTCCTTCATGCACACCACACGAGCAACTGTCACACGCTTCAAAATTAATAATTACACTATCATAAATTATTCAATCAATTTTGCAATCATTTTTTAAGTTTGTAAAAGTACTTTATAAATTTCTCATACTTCATTTCAACATTTTTGTTATAAGAATATTATAATAATATAATGTATTTAAAACCGTCATTATTTTACCATTCAATGAATAAAATCAAAACTTAACCCAAATTTATAAATTTCTCATACTTCATTTCGACATTTTTATTATTAAAAAATAATCATAACAGTGTAATTTATTTTTGTATTTTTGTGTTACCCATTCAATTAATAAAGTCAAAACTAAACTCAAATTACCTTCTATACATGAAAAAAGGTCTAATTTTAATTATTTAACTGTAAATAATTATTAATCGGGTACCTTAAACACTTCCTTAAATTGAGCATTGCAAATAAAAATGCATTCAGTCTTGTTTCAAGAAATTCAAAGTAAATTTAGGTGTACAGTGGGGTTGAATAGAGTAAATGAATAATATTAGATAAATAAAGTTGATAAAATAAAGAATAATAAATTAAGATGGTAAATTAAAATTTTGTGGATATTTTATTTAACACAAATAATGTTTTAATTTTTATAGATTTACAGATATATTTAAAATTTTATTTTTGATATAATATTTTTTTATTAAAAATTAATACTAAATTATATAAATCATTTATAATAAAAATAATTATTAATCATCATGTGATTTTTTTTTGTTAAATGTTTGATATATTTATTTCAATTCAAAATTCAAATATTATTTTAAGAAGAAATGACTTAATATAAACGTATAATTCGTATAATTTTTCGAAATTATTCTGTAACTATATATCCAACTATCTCCCTAAGTTAAATAGTCGAATATATATTTTGTAATATTAATTTTGATGTAAGCTAATTTTGACCCGGCTCGCTAAGAACCCGTGGTGAGCCAGGTTACCCGTTTTGATAGCTCTATTCTCTCTCTCTCTCTATATATATATATATATATATAGGGTTTGCTAACATGCGTAGGCCTGTTTTTCAGTTGGTACATTTTAGCAATGTGTACCGGGTTTTAGTAGACAAAAATACCCTTATATACCATGGATTCTAAGTTTTAAGGTAAAAAGAAACCCCCAAATCCTTACTCACCTCTCTCATTCTTCTCAACCATTTCTATCTCTCTCACTCAAACCTTTTCTCAGTCATACTGTAGCCCCAATTGAAAAAAAAATCATTAACACTTACCGTTAAACAATTTGCCTTTGTAAAGAGTTGAGTCATTGACATATTCACCTTCAAGCAAAGGTTCATTCAAGATCTCTTCAATTTCACCATCTTCACTAATCTCTCTAATTTCATCATTTGCATATGTTGAATCATCATCTCTAAAAAAAACCCTCCAGGACAATTACCAATCCCTTTGGATGTCATTATGCTTGTGAAAATTAAATAAAATTATATACGACAAAAATTATAAAATGAAAACTCATTATAAAATCATTTTTTGTAAGAAATTGTTTAACAACGAGTGTTTATGATTTTTTCCAAGCCAATTACCAATTCCTTTGATGTCATTATGCTTGTGAAAATTAGATAAAATTATATAAGACAAAAATTATAAAATGAAAACTCCTTATAAAATCATTTTTTTGTAAGAAATTGTTTAACAATGAGTAAATCTGATTTTTTTCAGGTCAATTACCAATTCCTTTATTTTAACAGCTAGTGTTTCTGATTTTTTTTAGTTGGGACTATCATAGGATAGGATAAGATGACAGAGAAAATGTTGGAGTGAGAGAGATGAAAGAGAAAGAGTTGAGAGGAATGAGGAAGGTGAGGAAGGATTTGGGTTTTTTTTTTTTTAGTTTTGAGAATGAAA